GATATCATATTATATAAATTATATTTAATATTTCTATTGTATTGCTATATGGTTATGCAGCAGTTATGCAGAACATGCTTTCCGGAATCTCAGACTTGGTCCAAGTACACCCACCAACCATCAACCACCAACCAATCAACCAATCGAGCCACGTTGGGGCAAGCCCATCTGATCGATGAGCCCCGCGACCAATAGACTTCACAACGTCGGTGATGAGCCGATTTCGTTCCCCAACCTGCATGTTTCACGGCGACCCGGAAAGAGATAGCGCCGACCAAACTCTGAATTCAAAGCTTCAACTAGGAACCCGTCTTCTGAACAAATAGAAACCAAATAACTACCTAACTAAGTACGTTAACTCACACTCAAACAAAATGCGAGCTATGTGGAAACTCCGTTGTAAATTGTTTTCCCAAACAACATCTAATGTATCCGAATGTCACTGGCATGCTGGTAACTGACAAAACTAGTCGAAATGCCCAGAAGGAAATCAAGAGAACGGCAACAAACATACAACACCGCAAAAACCACTGCAGACTATGAATGAGGTATGATATGGTATGATATGATCTTATGAATGGAATTTTTGAACCGGATTGAAATTTGATATGACATAATTTAATTTATATAATGATATTGATATGATATTTGATATGATATGATGTAAGAAAAAATGAAAGGAACAATGCAACAATAGCTCAACTTATATAAATCAATCAAATTAATATGGTACAATCACTAACCCCCAAAAAATGCCAGCTGGAGCTGCCTCAGTCTGGAGCCAAAGAAGATCCAGCTGTTCCACTTCCCGCCCACAAAGCCCAGACATCCAGGCTTCCCCAAATTGGCCCCTGCACCACCGAGAATACCTCGGACAAAGAGAACACCGAGCTGATGAAAGGGCAGTTCACGTGACTACATAGTGGCACACTTGTGGTCAAGTTGCTGGTGGTATGTTTGATCGCTGGCATGCTCGTAGCCAAGGCCCTCCTTCAATCGGTCGAACTCTGTTCGCGTCTTGCCCTGCGTTACCCAGCTCAAAACCTCGACGGCACAGGACCCTACATGGATACGTTTATGAGAACCAGAATCAGAATATAGAATGATTATATTATATGGTGGTATTCGACTCGGCCATATTCACAGAAATTCAACTACTCTACAGACTGCACACTTCAAACTTCAATCTCTGCACACGTCCGTCTCATTATCATACAGTGGTTGTATCTTGAGCCCCTATGTATTAAATCATTATACAATCATACTTGACTCAGACTCTGTACTTGTAAACCATGTGACATGACTTAATAAGTTGAGTAAGTTATAGAAAATATTTTCTACTTATCTACAGGATAAAAATTCTGAATAATGCCTAAGATATATTGATATTGACAATGATTTTATTATCTGAAAAATTGGGCTCATACATTTCATATGTTCTGCAGCACATGTAGGCAAAAGGGCGGCCATCCATCGCTTTGTCGTTTTTTCAATCGAGCACCCTGCAGCTCAACGTTGAGCCTTTCTCTGTCATATGATTATTTTGCAAGGTCTCGGCCAAAACACAGCAGTCGTGGTGCCATTGCAAAAACCAGCTAGCGGTTCCAAAAAAAACATACCAGTAGTAAGGCAGCATAACTAACCCTGAAGTTAGAAAGCGCACGACGGAGAGCTACCAACCAACGACAACCGAAGAAGACAACAAAAAGGTTGAAGGTAGGTTAAGTTAAGCTATGGATCTGTGATCTGAGATCTGTATTTGTATGTTTTTTGTTACTGCGACGCTCTATTTGATGTTGTTGATTTGGAAACGGCTGCTAGGGTCCTAAATGGAATTGGAACATGAGCGCCTGCTTGCGTCACGCCGTCGTTGCCACACTGTGATTGGAGGCCCAATCAAAAATGGCAACCTGTACCAGCTGACAAAGTTGGCAGCCAATGTTCTGGGTCTGGGCCAGGTCGATTCCGTCACAACAACCTCTCTACAACAAAAGGCAAAACAAAAGGCTTTCAGCTTTCTCTCTCAACAAGGTCGATTTGCTGTGCTTTTTGAGTCCGTAGACCTAGCCCAGATATGATACAGTTCGGTTGGGAAAAGGCACATGTGGCATGCAATTGCGAACATCCTGCTGTGCAGTCTGTGCATCTCCAACCTTGACCAAACTCAGAAAGCCCGGACTCCTAGGCTCAATCCCATGATCTTCACTTCTTACTTCTTATTGTTCTTGTCAGCACCAGCAGACATCTTCTGGCGTTTCTCAGCTGGTCCATCCCCAGCATCACTCTGCTCAGACATCGCTGGGGGCTTCCCCTTCAAGTCCTGTCGCCAGAAAGGACAAATCAGTCGACTGGCAAAGTTTGACACGCTACAGCAATGTTACAAAGAAGACCCAAGCCCAAGTTAACGGTCCTTGGCAGTCTTGGAATGCTGCTTCTGCTGCTGCTCAGGATCTGTCTTACGACTTCTACATGTTTGTTTAGCTTGTAGCTTCAAACTGTCGGTGACACGTGACTGGTTGGTGTCTGGCTTTGTCTTGAAAGGATTACCCTTTCTTTGCATTAGAATCGCCTTTGTCCCTGCGACCTCTGGCTTGAGATTTGACAGCGCCACGCGTGGCTGGTTGGTCAAATTGAAGCCCGATCGGATGAAGAGCTGACTGGGGTCGGGCGACAACTCAAAGGGGTTCAGATTTTCGTCAGCATGTTTCGGGTTGGTGGCGGGTGTTGTTTGAGCTTTTGGGGCAGGCTTCGTGCAAGTAAGTGAATAAGATCCACCACCTTCCAAAACGAAAAACTGCTGCCCAGGCATTGGAGCCTGGTTGAAAGGATTTGGCTCCACCTTTGGGCTGTCTGCATTGCTGCTTCCAATTCCATGTTCCTGTCTTTGCACTTTTTCAAACAACACAAGAGGAGAAAAAAGGGCACACCAACGTTCAAAATGGGTCACAGCGAGGTCTCGGAAAAGGAAACAGAAGAGAATGACACAAGCATGAACTTGGCATCGACTATCACATTTTTTTTTGTCTTGCACTAAGTAAAAGACAAAAGTAATTTGCCACTGGTCCGATGTCAGTCAGTCGAGTCAGTCGAGTTAGTCGTTGCACTCTTAGGTGCTGGCAGCGGCAGATAGACGAAGTAAAGTCGAGTCAGTCGAGTTAGGTGAATACAGGGCGGCCATACCAACCCTAATGGGCCCAATAATCTGGGATACCAAACCCAAAACCCAGTCCTTGGAAAGCTTGTCCAAAGCATTCACCACAACCTTCGGCAAGTGCGTCTTGACAATCTTCAACTTGTTGTTCAGGAAGTTGTTGTTCAGCCGCTTGATGTCAGAGATCGTCTGCTGGTGACCGCCTCCGGAAAAATCGCGGAGAAGAATCTCAGCAGCCAAGCACACATAGAGCCCGACTGCGACACAGCGACCGGAGGGTGCCCCGCCGCGGATTTCTTCTAACTTCTCGATGCTTCCGCTGTCCTTGATGCCCTGGCTGCCGGCCAGAAGGTCTTCTTTCCAGCTCATAACGATCTTGGCCAAAGACTCATAACTCTGAAGCGTCTCCAAGCCTGCCAGAATGAATACTGAACACAGACTTCAGTGAAGGATACCCTGGAAAAGCATCTTTGCTGGAAGAGAAACCCGAGCAGAAGCTCCCGCGATAACGCAAAACCATAGAGATCTGAATATATGATTCTATAAACTTTCGACCCCAAAAAAGGGAGAATACCGTAAACAAATTATTATCAATTTATCTTTGTTTTTAAATTCCCGCCTGCCATCCCGTTCTCAAGCTCTTTGGTGTTCGACGCATCGTTGTAGTGCCCCACGGTGTTAATGACCTCTGCTGAACTGAGCCATGCTGGTCCATCCTTCTCGGCCGCATTGATCAGCTTCAGGAGGTTCTCGTGCAGGGGGATCAATCTTTTCTTGGTCTCGTGCAGTTGAGCAGCAATGTACTCGGTCGCTTCGATCGACTGCTTGGTCAGGAATTTGGTGACCTCCGTCTGCTTGGTGGGGTCCAGAATGGTGTCCTTGTCACGGTCAAAGGACATCAGATCCAGGAGAGCCATGACTCCAGGGTTGATTTCAGTCTCATCTCTCCAGCATCTTTGCTGCAAGTATGGCGGGCGAGTCTCGTCAGGAGTGAGGTCAAAATCTGAAAGGATCTTCAAAGCCCGGAGCTGCCTCTCCACCACAGTACCTAAGCCACCACGCACGGAGCCTTGCAAGGTCAGAAGCTTCTGCCCTTCTCCCGAACGTGCAAGTGACCGGCACCACGCAGGAGGTTTGTCCTCAAGCTTTGGCACCAAGGTCTCCAATGCCTCAACCAATTTGACGAAGATCTCCGGGAGAGCAGGTTTGTCCCCTCCGAGAGGAATGCCTGAGCAAGCCAGCTGAACCCATCAAAGCCCCACCAACTACAAGACCGCATCCACTTGAAAACAAATAAGTCCCGTGCTTTCAGTGATGAAATCACGCAGGGGCTTCAAGTACTTGGGGCCCGGGAACTTGTGGATTCCGGTGGAGGCTCTCACAAAGTACTCGCACGACAAGTTATCCGCACCCTCGCACTCCCCTACCAGACACAACAATCGCAGAGCTTCGTCGGCCGCCAATGACAAGCCATTGGCAGCAGACTCCCGAACTGAAGTCCACTGGTCCACCTCAGCTGGGAGAAACAGGCCAGTATTTGATGACTGGATACGAGTTAGTTAGTTAAAGTTAAAGTTATTGGTGATTTTGATTTGATAATAGAATGATATTATATGATGATAATATAATATAATATAATATAATATTAATATAAATATATATATATAAAGATAAATGAAAAGTATATAATATGATATGATATGTGACTTTATGATATGTAGATAAAAACATTAACATATGATAAAACATAAATTGTTACATTGACTACATTGTAACATTTGAAATTGAAATATGTGTGATAGCTATTGCGTCAGTATCGGATGTAAAGTAATGAGTAATGTAATTCAAACCATTTGTTTGTAAAAACTAAAGACAGCTTTTCCCGATCAACGCCAAACCATACGCGAACATAGACTTACGATGGCTCCCGCGGGTTTGAAAACCTACCAGCGACATACATAGCCTAAGTGGTGCAGTTGTTGAGTTGCAGGTTGCGTTAAGATCTAGAGTCCAGACTCTAGACAGTCTATCGAGAGCTAGAAGACATCAATGGCTACAGTATACAGAAACTGCAACAATTGCGTTCAATCCTGAATTTGAAAATCCTACCCCCCGAGTGAAGCCACCCTGGCGCCTTCCATGCACGGAGAAGCTTGCACAAGCACCTGATCTGCGCAGGCCCAGTATAGAAGTTTTTCTTGACAAGCTCAGCCTTCCAGTCAGCATCGTTGATGGCGGCCAAGTACAACTCCATCACTTTCACCAGGTACTTGTCCAGAAACTCATTGAGTTTGGAAATCTCCCGCTTCAAATGCTGGACGTGATTGTCCGCGGACATCACGGCATTTGGCTGCTCCTGAAGTCTCTCAAAGAGAGCCTTGGCTTGAACCAAGCGATCCACCACATGGACCTGCGCCTGTGAGCTGGAGCAACGCCAAGGGTTCATCACGGGACAGAGCCAACTCTACCGCCGAAAACGGAAAGCTGGACATGATCTGGTTGCAAGTCTCCGGAATGTTGTCCTCTGAGATCACATGCCGAGCCGCAGCCTCCATCTGCCCCCACCAAGTCCTGAGAAGTGGAGTGACCGAAAGCACAGGTCTTAGTAGTCGTAGTAGTAGTAGTAGTAGTAGTAGTAGTAGTAGTAGTAGTAGTAGTAGCTAAATACGTAAACCGTAGACCGTAGAACTATATGAAATGATTCGATAATTCGATATAATAGTTTTTTTTTGCGATATGAGCGATACGGCGATACGGTTCACGTCATGATTAAATTAATACCGTACTACCGTCATACAATCTTAGACAGACACATACTGAAAACTTAATTTACAATGACACTGAAGATTTTCAATTTGTGGAAATTGCAGGCAAATCATATCATATTAGTATTATATTACATATTGTTCATATTAGTTGAAAGTACATAATATTACAAAAAAGTTGAAGGCTTACCACCGACTACTCGCCTCATTCTACTGTCACAATGTAATGAAATGAAATCATTCACCATGGCAACCCACGCGTGTTTTTTCAACGTTCGCGACAACAATAAAACTGTAGTTCTAGAACAGGCGAAAAACAGATGGCAAAGGTTCTTTGCAAAAATCTAAAGAGACGATGTACGACCGTAGGCAGTAGACAGCAGGCAACAATAAATATGAAAATGATATTATATTTGATATTGTTGTTTAAATATTATATAAGATTAAACGATTCTAAGACGATGACGATGACTACGAGTACGACTCAGTACGACTATCAATTAGTATTCAATATCTTACCAACCTGGCATCGGATATTTAAACTAAACTAACTTACGCACGGGTCATCAAACGTAAATAAATACATCGTCCGGTATGGTCTGGTCTAACGGTCTAACTGTCTAACTAACTATCAAACCTAGGATTACACTGGCAATATGTGACTGTAATCTTCAATGATTCACTGCCTTTTGCCAAACCACCCCGACCATGCTACCAAGCGTCTTCAACAGCCCCATCTTGGTAAAGGATTGCATCTTAGTGCTCAAAAAGGATTTCTTCTCCAAGGCTACCTTCGCACTGCGGTTCTCGACTGGGGATCCACCGGAACCGTCCTGTGGGGATTGCAAGCACAAGCCCCACCCAACACAAACTGTACCACGCGGTGTTTGCTGGAAACCAACTGGTGTCTGTACTGCTCGGCACCAACTTTTAGCGAGAGATTCCGACCATGTACAAGTCACAGTCAACCGATCTTGGTTTTGGTTTGAACTCCAAAAGAAAAAGTTGAAATACGATTAAGTTTTCGAAAATCGTCACAAACTTGGAAGATTCAATATCCCGGCATCCCTTCCCTTCGCTCCTCTGGAAAACGAATGGCCGCTGTTTTGCTGACCTGGACCTCGAAGACCACACGGTCGCAGAACCCGGCGTCCATCTGAAACGATTCCCCCTTGAAGTCCCACGGCACCGCCGCTAAATCCATAGTGGGCACCGGCAGCCTTAATGGCCCCCGTCACAAAGATCCACACAACGACCGGAAAAAACAACGACCTACTACTACTGCTACTACTACAGCTACTCATTGACAACGGCAACCACAATGACTAGACTAGACCGACTAGACCCCCATGCCCTCAGAGATTGAAGCCCAAGAAACGCGGCCAAGCAAGCCCTGATCTTGGAGTCCGAAACCTTTGACCTCCAGACCTTCTCTTGCCACAGCGAGAACAATTGCAGCTGGACACCCACTGCCAGCCCCTTGGCATCTTCATCGGCAGAAGGGCCATTCGGGCCATTCCGCTTGCAAACTTCCATGTAGTGCCGAACGGTCAACGTTTTGGACACCGCAAACAAGCTCATCATGTTGAAAAACAAAGTCGAAATTGGAGGCTCCTTTCGACGCTGCTAACATTCACTAATGAAACGGTTGGTTCCAAGAAAAAACCAGCTAGAACCACTAATTAAGAGATACAACGTGCATTGCCAGTAAAGCATGCAGCATGTATGTACGCACTAGTGTCAGTTTAACCTTCAACAACCTAACCTAAGAATAAAACGACATCTTGTCAAAACGGCATTGGTCAATGATTCACGATTCCATAAATGGATTAGTTCGGAAGGAAGGAGGAGAAGGAGTGTGGAACCCAAGCAAGGTTGTATCTGCAAGCCCCGCGCCGATGCCCATGCCCTGTAGGCGATGCAGCAAAGGTGTTTTTATCACAAAAACTTCGCACACTGAAAAACCATTGCAAGGGGCAAGTGTGAATTCTTTGAAACCTTCCCCGACATCAAATCAACACTTATTCGACGCCAGCTTGAAAAGCAAAAACGTGAGTTGATCGATGTTTTAGGATCAATTTAGGTAAATTAAAGTGAGCAACTAACTAGACTTACTTACTGTATACGGACATAATGACATGACATCTTGAAACAATATGGTATACCGGTATACCGGTATACCGTATACCATATTAAACATAAGAATCACAATAATAAAAATAATTGTGTAATTCCAAATTTTAATCATATCATACCTCACCTCATATCAAACATGAGCAGATTAGCAGATACTTAACCAAACCCCTCCTCGAAGTTCTTGAGCAACGCCATGCCGATGTGAATGAAGATGCGCGAAAGGAGGGCCGGACTGATATTCTCCATCACCTTCAACTCCGCATCCTCCAGTGTGTTGACAGCACTCTGCGGGTTCTTCTTCAACTTTTGGAAAACCTGAAACTTTTTCAAAGCCGATTCTGGAAAGTCCAGCATCTCCCGGGCAAGATTTTCACCCTGTGGGTCGGCAATGACTTTGTTGGCTCCTTCTTCCAACTGTCGGCTAAGTTGCTCGAATGCACGTTGACGAATTTTGCCCTCCCACAAGGCATCGTCGCTGAAGCTCGATTGCTTGGCTTCGAACAAATTTGCCACTTTGTCGATCTTGTCCTTGCTGGCGGTAGCTTCTGGCTTTCCAACCACTGCTGGCGCCGCAGCAGAGGAAGCAGCTCCTGGTGCTGGTGGCACCATGCGGCCCAAGGCATCCCAACAATCCAGCCTTCGCCTCTTTGGATCCGTCTCTTTGGGCCCGCCCACACTCTGCTTGGGGCCCTTGGGGGCCTTGCGTGTGCTGGCTGATGGAAGGGCAGCCGAAGAAGATGGCACGAATGAAGAGAACTCCAAATCTTTGTCCTCAACCTCTGACTCCAACTCATCGGCCGTAGAGACCCCAGTGCTCGCAACCTCCTCCATGCCACGCTCTTGCAAGTCAGCGACTTTCTTTTCCACCTCGCTGGCTGACTGCATCTGAGACTTGACCGCATCAATGTCCGCCTTGTGCTTGGCATAGGTGGCCGCGGCGGAAGATCCAGAGTCATGGCCACCAACCTTCCATGGAGAGATGATATGTCGAGCTGGTTTCTTGGTGGGAAGGAAAATGGATGACATGTAAAACCGTTATCGATTCATTTGTTGAGGCAACCACAACCCAAAAAAACAACTAAATAATTAAAGAAATAATATGTTGGAATACGAAGAGCGGTTTGTTTTGATTCAAATGATTTGTATAGGGCCCATGAGGCCATGATGAGGCATTGGCAAGTGATGCAGTGATGCCAATGGTTTCCACAACCACATTTTATGCGACTGCACGGCAATGTTGGCAATGCCTGAAAGTGTATCTAATGGCGTCATACAACCCACGCAGCAAAACATCAACCAAAAAAACAAATTCTCTTCGCTTTAAGGTACTTACAGGGCCGCACATGCACACATGCAAGCGGCAATAGTTCACTAAACTACGGGCTGTGGTCAAATACCCGCTTTCACCCACGGTTTGGCTAAACCTTCACACCATCCAACACGACTCATGGCAGCTGCAGCTGCAGCTGAAGCACCCCACGAAAATACAGTTTAGTTATCTCTATCAAGAACGTATGACTAGATAAGATTGGCATGAATTATGGATAGCCAAATAGCCTCATTGTTTTTCAACATGCGTCTAAAGAAGGTAACACCGTATCACACAGAGTAACACATAATTATTTACAGCATGTTCAATTGAAATGTGATAAAGGGCCGGTGCATCTGCAGATATACCGCTTGGAAAACTATATTAAATGTGATTTGTCTCTATTCTGAAATTTCATCTTTTAATTCTTCGGGAAATAGTTGCGATCCACCTCACAAAGAAAATTGATTTGCGCCCCCCAAGCCTTCTCTTTGCCGGCCGATTGCCGTGTGCCGACGCGAACTCGGCGCTTGCCGTCCAAGATGGCAACCACCAATTTCCCTTTGTCAGTCAGGACCTTCATATTTAGCTCCTGCCATGGCAGTGATCCGAAGAGGTTGCCATTCTACAGGGCCCCAACACCCTACTTATACATGAATTGAATTGTTTATCCACACCGTACAAACCACATTGCGAGATCATCAAGCCACTGCTACCAATCGCTATCTTATAGCTACATTGTTGCTACATCATTGGGCAACCAACCTGCACGCGTGCGAAGCACTGCATCTTAAAAAAATGAACTGGTAGGTAGTACCATTATGACCATACCCCACAAGATCAAAATAAACAAGATGCATGGCTGGATAAGAAGGGAAAGGTGCTGTAACGAACGGCCCAACATGTCCTCCTCCACAAAGCGGCGCTGCTTCGATTCCGAGCCAATCTTCGCTGGATCAAAACCCTGAGAAGTCAGAAACTCACCAAGGGGCAACACCGTGCCCTCATCAAAGAACTCGGCATATTCCTCTTCACGTCGGTAAGTCGCAAGATCAAACTGCTCATGCTTCCTGCGGTTCCCCGTAGATGAATCGCAAGCCAAAGAACGCTTTTCTTCCCACTTCTCCAGGGCATCCTGGGCCGGTCTGTTCCTATGATTCCATGAGAGCCCCAATTTTTGACTCATGAGTCATATCATATGTTCAAAACCTTAAATCACGGCAGCGGTAAAAATATATGGAGTCGCCACAAGTGAATCGGAAATTCATAAGGTGGTATAAGGCCACAGCCGTGAATCCATGAGCGTCATAAACTTTATAGAACCAGCGGATCTCTTCATATTTGGGGAGATGTAAATGATTCAATGCACCAAATATTATAATACTAATATCAATATTGTCATTATGCCAAAAATAATGGATATCATCCGGTATGATCGTAGCATTGCGCACCAATCGAATGCCATAACCAAGTTTTAAGTTGAATGACATAAACCGACAGGAACCTACAATTTGTCATGGTTAAATCCGCGTCGCTTAAATCCAGCAGTCCTTACTACAACCTGTTCCAGTTTTGATTTGCTGATAAAAAACCTTGGATTGTAAGAACCCCAGGGCTTAGCCACTCGGTGGAAATTATGCCTCTTGAATATTGAACCTTTGCCCCGTATATTAACCAACCTTGGCTTTGTACCGGAAAAAATTGAAACACCTGTGTTTGGAAAGCTCCCAGTCTAAAAACGAAAACCATGGTTCAAGCACGTTCAAGCAATGTCGACAAGTGTCCCAAAGCATTCGTATCATTTGGGCTATTGGCTAGGCTTTGGCTATTGCCACTATTGCCACCATCTACGCAGTCTATGCACTTACACACTTCCTACCCCACCAAATCCCAGCCATGCGGCATCTGAGTTTTCAATCAAAGAGTTCAGCTCCTTCTGTTTGATGTTGCCGAAATTGTAGCGGCGACACGACTCGGGAAAGGCAAAGATCGGGTTCGTTGGCTATTCACAGCAGTGATCAATCAAAAAGTTGACTTCTGGTTCTGATTATAACTTCTGATCGAGAAAGAAAAACACCATGAATAGAAAAACAAAGGTTCACTGCGACCAGTTCGTCTTCAACTTCGGTTCTGGTTTTAGACGAGCTGCGTTGCAGCAGCCACACTCATGACCACGTTCCAAGGTGCGATTGCCGTCCTGGCGGTGGTGTCCGGAAATATCATTCGACGAGAACATCAACTAACCCAAAACATCCCAAAACCAAATAACTTGTACTCTAAACTCTATAGTCCATATAGTGATGAAAACATAAAGATACAAAAGTTCCAGGACGTATGAAAAAACAAGAGATCCAAGACAACAAAGCGGAGTATCAACGATTAAAACACAAGAAAATAGACAATTTCAACTATCTTTAAATATTTGGTTTTCGGAAAGCATCCGAGAGAGCCGGGAGAAGGGGGGGCAAGGACGCACCCACGGTTCAGCATCTAGAGCCCTTCACTTGGCAAGTTGAGAAAACAATGGAAAAGGGTAGGATTTCTTAAGGCCTCTGAAACAAAAAAGTGGGAACAACCATCGTCACCAGGTTCAGTGTTCAGATTCTGTTGTTAGCAAACGCAGGTGTATCCGACATCCACCGATACACATGCGTTTGCTAACCTCACCACAAACGGTAAAAACTTCAAATAGGTTCAAAGATGGACAGACAAATCGGTTCAAAGCCACCCTCTATCTCTAAACATCTTTTGAATGCCCAAACCACCATCACCAGGTGCTAAACTTTGAAAAAATATGAAAAAATATCGTCACCAGTTGCAGCGGTCAGATTCTCACATTTTTTGACATGGAAAAAATGCATAACAAAAAAGGTCAACCTTCAAAAATGCAGGTAAAATTTCAAAAAAAAATGCATTTTGATACGCAGCCCTTCGGGGCCGAAAAAAAAAACGTTTTTTTTGACCGAAGTGCAGCCCATGGAGCGGTTTCCCCTCAGGCGACTTTTCCATAACGGGGTATATAACTTAACAAACACCGTATCGGGGATAGCACAACAACAAAGGGACAAACAACAAAATGCTAATTATGTATGCTTTATGTATGTTTTATAAATTTTGAATTGAAAATAAAAAGTCTTCT